ACCATCGACGTGAGGCGGATGAGCAGTCCAACCGGGCCCAGGATGTCTGATACGGAAACGATCAGCATAGGTCAGTGGCGAGGATAAATCTACGCCATCCAGCTTCTGTCCTGCTTCGGCACGGTACAATTTGTTCAACCAGGCCGAAGCTGTGAGCATGTTGGGATGAGCGCGCGCCTCCACTTGAGATTTCGTCCAGCTGTTGGAAAGTTAGTCGGATACTGTAACAAAGCAAAGACTATATGATACATACTAGAGGTCGAAGAACTGTTTATTGCCCTCGGGAAAACCTGGAGACTTCGGTGAGAGTAATAGCACGAGTATTTCCAGGGAAACTTACCATCAGCATCCGGATTAGCGGATACGAAATCTTCGAGCGACTTCCTCCAAGAAATCGCCTGCGCATCATCGACAACATCCTTGATCACAAGGCACCCCTTGCGTCGGATTTCGTCAATCTTATCAGCTGGAAGGCTGCCAAGTTCAGAGAACTGGACTTGGGGAATGAACTAGTGTCTGTGAGCTAGGTAATTAGTCGGCCAAAGCAGTAACAAACCTCGGGCCCTCCAGCGCTAATCGTCTGGGTCGCCTTCTTGAGTTCAATGAGGATGTCGGCCCATCCTTGTGTAACACGTTCCTCAAAGTCAGGATAAGAGGAAGCAATTTCTTTCTTGATATGAATGAGATGACGAGCCGAAGATGAGTCGGACATATTTGAAGAGGTGAGACGAAGAACCTATCGCTCCTCGACCCTTTATATAGCCCGTGAGACCTGCAAAAACTGGGCGGATGCATTTATCCGAGGTTTCACCGGACCACGAAATGGAATGCAGGAGCGACTCCGAGCGAGAGTTTGGTCACGAGAAGATATTTCTAGTGCTTTATCGTACCAATGGCAGTCCATGGAACGTAATCGAGGCGTTTGGAATCACCATGGGACGTGTGGCATGACCACCACGAAAGAACTAGCCACCAAATTTGAGCTCTGCTGTTCCACCAAAGCACGCAATGAGGAGCATGCGCAGTTAAAAACAGACCGAAGTCTCACAAAAACGTTTATCACCCTCAAGGCTCGATGGGGTGACTCCTTGCCGTGGCGGTTGGATTACCAGAGCTGTGGTATCCTGTAACGTGTCATAGGAATGAAGCTTAACTCCAACCACGCGTAGGTATAATGACAGTAGAGAGAAAGTGTAGAGTCCATGAGTGAGTATACGACAGACGCCAGGGGAACTTGCTAGACCTCTGCGCTGCGCATGAAGTTGGTGCCAGTCGTAGATCGCGACCGTGGAAAGCCAGGCAGATAGCCGTACAGCACCCGTAAATCAAAACATGTTGAAAACAAAAACAGAAAGAACGGCATGTACTGGTAACCGGTTCCAGAGAATGGAGCAATAAGCAAGTGGTAGTGACTGCCAAAAACGCGCTAGTCACAGATTGTCACATAAATATCACCCTCTCTAACCGTCATTGGTTTTTATTTATTTTCTTGATGGAATTTGTACTGGTATATGGTACAGGTACGAAATTTGCGTTGAATGAACTGCGATTGGCGTGATAAAGTACAGTTGTGATCGAACTATCGATTTCGCGTTCCGGAGATTCTTCAGAAAAATGCAAATACCGTCCACATGCACTCAGCAAAGCATAAACGGACTACTGTTGGGAATAGACGTCGGCAGGCATGATGAACACGAGGGGGTGTGGCTCGAACGAACGTATATTGACAGACAGATACGTAGGTGGTGGTGGTACGAAGCCAAGAAACGATAATGATCGGTACGAAAATCAAAATAAGGTAAAACAAAAGACGGCGAGCCGTCAGCCTGGTGGCTGTGAAACCATCATCCTCAACAACTACTTCTGACATAATTAGTACCCTAGAATCCCTGTCTTCATGTTAGTGTTGAAACCTTGTTGCAAGTGTTGCGATGAGGGGTAATTCTCCAGCCACTCACCCAGATATAGCAACACGCGAGAGTCAAATTTAGGCTGTGTATTTATCTACATTTCTGTACACTAATAGCTAGGTAATAGAAAAAATGCTGTAAAGTAAACGAAATCAAGTCCGGGGAGAAAACTCTTCCTTACACTAGACAACCAAAGATCCCGGGTATGCGCGACACTTGACAATCCAACAGCAAGAACTCCAGGGTATCCACATAGCGAGATCTGGGACTGGTTCAGTGAATAGAAGCACCGTCTGTCCCAAGACTCACCGTGAGCCTGAGGAGAATGAGATTGCGAAGGCTTCAGCCAACCATCATGCTCCGAGCCAGTGCCGCTATTCTTCATGCCATCTGGGGTCAGGAAGCACCACATTACAGCCTGGGTGGCGCGTTCATCTTCCACGAAAGCCTGGACCTCCAAACTCTTCCACCGTCATGGATCCAAGAAGCCGCCAAATTACTGGCTATATCGTGTTTCTCCCATGCATGAGCTGCGAAGAGATTGATGCCGAGACGAGGCTCATTACATCCAAAGAGGATATACCACATTCCGTGACCATCCAGACGACTTCGCCTGGCTCAGAACGATGCAAATTACAGTGGGGTCCCAAGTCTGATCCCTGTTGTTCTTCTCATATCCTTGAACTATTAGCCTCTCGACGACATCGACTAAGTAATACTCCAGCTCTGCCCGGAGTCCCGGGCCTCCGGTAATGGTCCACCCCATACCTGTTCACATTTAAAAAATGGTACGCAAGGTATTCTGATCAAAGTCGGGCCATCGTCGAGGTATGTCAGCATCTGTCGGAAAGGATCATCAGTTACTCTTTGGTGGTGGAAGAAGAACGCCACGACTCTGATGAGTCGCTGACAAGGCTGAAGGAGACGATGATATCTGGGGAGGATGGCGGGATACCATAAACAAGTTTGCCGTAGTTGGATAGCCGGATGTCAAATTGAAATTAAACTTGTACTTAGCAACAAACTTCCGGCCCGGAGCCACTTCCTTCTTTATCAATGACCACCTCGCTCATCCACGACCTCCTCACACCCGCCATCGACACCGCCAAAGCTCACCAATACGCCCTCACCCAATACGCCGATGCGCTCTCAGCAGAACTCGACGAGTTCGACAAACTCATCGTGCGTTTCATTACGTTTTGTCTGGTATTTTTGCTCATGGGCATAGAAAGCGGCGGAGCGCGACAAGGAAGATGCGGACGAGGACCTGGGGCTCCAAATCCAGGTTGTAGGTGCAAAGAAGCCTGTGGGACCCGTCGCGTCGAATGAACTGGTCAATCCGGTATGTCTTCTGCCATTAAATCATGTTGTGTCTCATGCATGTTTCGAGTCTTCACCATTCTACGAAGAGTCGGTGCGGAGGACGCGGTATCTGGCTTGGACAACTGTACGACCCAGTGCGTTTCATTCTGATGGCCCTTCCGTCCTCTAACACGATGACAGTGAAGGCTAAAGAACTTGCCGCACTAGACGAGGGAGTCAAGCACGAGAACACGCGGTTGAAAGCGCTGGAAACGAGGGACCGGTGCGTTCTTCCTTGGAGTTCTCTACTTATTTGACTGATGTTTTTAGTGGAACATCGGATATCGACATCGTTCTCAACACGGAAGGGATCAACTGGGCTATCATTGCTGAAAAAGTTGATTTTTATCCTGACATTCTACGTGTTCTAATCAACCTTCAGGTATCCGACGCGTCTACGGCGAAATGGACAGCAGACGAGGTACGGTTCAAATGGATGGCAGACAGGCACCCTAAGATCAACCATGACGAGTGGACGGACCAAGAGATCGAGCAGCTCAAGAGAATCGCTCAAGAGACTAAGGTGAACTGGGTGCAAGTTGCAAAGGACCTTGGCGTAAGCAGTCTTACACCTCTCCGTTCTAACCTAACTCGGTACTCAGACAAACCGCATTCCTCTCGACTGTATGCGCAAAGCCATCCAGCTCCGACAGCGACCTAAGCACACGTGGAAGAAACGCATCGACGACCGGCTTGAGGAGGCCGTCCAAAAGTACGGTGTGTCGAATTGGAGTCTAGGTATGCCTGCCTTGTCTGTCACCTTGCCTGCTAACCCTCGTCAGTTGCCCGATACGTCTCCAACGAGCTCAACGCGGTTCAATGTGAAGCGCGATACGTTCGGCTGCACCTCGACCGTCGCCCGTGGACGGCAGAAGAAGACGCGCGGATGTACTTGGCAGTGGCGGGGTACGGGCAGAGCTGGGTGGATGTGGCGAGCGCGATGCCAGGGCGGACGAATGACCAGTGTCGGGACCGGTGGATCGAGCGGCAAAATACGGCAAGTGTCTGGACAGAAGACGACGATCGTCGGCTAGTGGAGCTTGTTGACCAGTTTGGGAGCGTCGGGCGGTGGAAGGCTATCGCGAGCGGGATGGGCGGGGGAAGGATTGACGTGAATTGTCGGTCGAGGTATAACAAGATCAAACCGACGCCTCTTCCGGAACCACAGAGGAAAGGCAAAGCAAAGGAAAAGGAAAGTAATCCTGTCTGGAAGCAGCCTCCTACGTATGCGCTTAGTGCCCCAATTTCGGCGGCAGCGCCCTCAGCAGTGCCTGTGTTGACTACATGGGCACTTAATCCACGTACGAGGGGAAACCAGGCCGTTCCGAATCCAACTCCGCGTGCATGGCCAAACGCGGTTCCTCCTCAGTCACTAATACCGTTTGACGCTGGGCCGCCAGCACCTCAACCGGCTCTCGTAGACTCTGATGCCATGGACGTCGACCCTGTGGTTCCTCAACAAATTCCAGAACCAAGAAGGAAGGAGAAGGATGCCAATGGTGATGTGATGGATGTGAATTCCGAGACTGCACCCAAACCCAAGCGCAAACCGAGAGGAAGGTCACAGAAAACTCAGAATGCTGAAGTAGATGTTCCTACGACTGCTGAAAAGGGCCTGAGAAGAAGCGCACGAGGCAAGGGCAAGGAAAGTAATTAATAGATGCTTTGAGTGTTCTTGACCGATCACGAATTCATCACTTAATTAATATATACTATCAATTGGCCGACGGCGCTATGGTGTAGTGGCAGCACATGGGATTTTGATGAGTCGTCAACTCGTTTATTCTTCCCATAACCCAGGTTCGAACCCTGGTAGTGCCTCATGAAATCTGTGCTTGCCTTTATCGCAATAAAGGCATCAGACTGTCAGACACTCAAGCTTGATTCTTGAGCGTTTGAACTTTTGAACTCTCAGATTGATTCAACATTTAGAAATCAAAACCCAGGCCTATTTCTGTGCACCAAATACTTTCTGAATGACTTTTGAACACTCCCGAGCGGCTGCAAGACCATTGGCATTGAAGAATACATTCTGGCTAACTGCGCGCATCAAGACCCGACTCTCCACCGCTTCCTTGGATGGGCACTGCTCTGCCAATTCACAATATGTCCTAGCAACTGCGCGTCCTCCTGGCCCTGACCCGAAGCATCCTCTGTAGAGAGCATAAGGTTGCGCAGGGACTCTTGCACGAGCCCCGCCGTCTTTAGCTTCTTCTCGAGCGAAGGCAAAGCCGCCTTTTTTGGCGGAGACACGGGGGTCTGATGGTACGTGTGTTTCGGGGGAAGGTCCGGGAACGAAGTCGGAAGGTTGCGCAGCGTGAACGGAACAGACGACGCCGGATCTTCGTCGTCAGACGAGAGGAGCTCTGGGGAGGGAGAGCGCGAGGGCGGGGGTATCAGTGTGGGGAGCGGTGCCGTGTTTCTCTTCCGCGTCTGGGCACGGAGTCCCTTCATGTCGAGCTCGTAGTCCTTGCATGCGAGCATCAGGTCGGTGGCGACAGCCCCGGCACGGTTGGCGAGGTTGGCGTACTCGTGGGCGCGGTGGTAGAGGGCCTCGACGATGGCGACGACCTCATGCTCGAGGCGGACGACGGCGGCGGGCTCTGCGGCATCGAAGCCGGCGCGTTTGAGCTCTGCGGAGACGAGGCGCTGTGTGGCTTCCGAGGCGGCGGCGGGGGACACGGCGGGCGGGACGGGGGACGGCGGGGACGGCTCTGGCTGTAGCGGGGGCGCGGCTGCTGCGGCTGTGTACGGGTAGTAGGCGGGGTAGGCGGCATTGTAGACGGAGTATGGATTTACAGGCACCGGTGCTGGGATCATCGTGGTCAAGAGTAAAGTCCCAAAATAGACTTGACTGACTTGATGACTGCCCGTCCCACTGCCCTTTTCCAGACAGACAGCTTTCGCAATAGCCGTCCCCTCGTCGTCGGTCCCGACCAGCCAGAGTCTCCGTTTCCGATACTGCTTAGTGGTGCCGTGCAGCGTGGATTTGGACGGGGCGGCAAGGATCTGAACTGCCCCACAGGTGATAATGCTACCTTTGGTCACCTCTGACGCTGATGCCTCGCAGCGAACCTCCCAGATGAAGCGATAGAGGCGATCAGCTCAGTGGCCGAGCCGGGTGTGTACTATGGCTACGCCCAGGTCCCAGACGCACCGGCAAATGAAGTGTGGCCCATGGTTATGAGTCTCGGCTGGAATCCATTCTACAAGAATGAGCGTCTCACTGCTGTGCGTCGTATCCTGTCTCTGTTGCGTCGCGCTCACCGTCCAGCAGGAGATCCACGTCATGCACGAGTACACCGCCGACTTTTACGGCATGGAGCTTAGAGCCGTCGTCCTTGGATATATACGCCCCGAGTTGGATTTCACCACCATGGGTGCGCTTTACATACTCTGTTCTTCATGATCGCTCACTCCTTATCAGAGGCACTGATAGAAACTATAGAGACTGATAAACGAGTAGCCTTAAACTCGTTGGATCGGGAGGCTTATAAGACTTTTGCAACCCATCCTCATTTTGTGTTAAAAGAATAGAATTTATAGACAAGTCGCTTCGTGAAAGAATAAATTTATATGCCTTCGCTCTAATCTCCCTCCACAGCCTCGATTGGCGCTGGTAAGAGGCGATGGCGGAGGATTATTACCATACAAGGCCAACCATCGACCATCTTTCACTTCTTCGGGCTCCAAGAGCCGTGGTCGAGAGGTAACACCATCTCCCCCATCACCACCTTCTTCAAAATAGTATTCTCCGCCCTCCTCCCTATGCGCCCTGAGCCGCTCGAAAACGCTGACATCCTTTGGCAAATTCGACGGCAGCCCAAGCATTCTGTAGCACTTTTCGAGTTTGCTCGCTTGCCATACTTGATTCACTTTGTGCCGAAACATCGAAGGGCAATCCAGCAGCGTATCGTCGTTTCCATACGCCTATTCTACCTCGTCGTGAGGGACGATGTATCGCGAACCATAGTTCCGCATCTGTCGGCAGTATGAAAAGTCAGTCGGGTTGCCGGAAAATGTTAATATAGGCTCGAATAGATTATGACCATAGCTCACGAGACATCGGGCAACCCACAATGTCTTGAATCCTCAAACCGACACAAAATTGTCCAGAGTCAGCCTATCACAGGTTCTCAGAAACCAACGTCGCCTCGTCTTCGTCCATATACGCGCATTCAAATACGAAGCAGTGAGCAAGCTGCCATTTCCCAACGCCAGGTCTGATTATGCAGATTCTCGCATCAGGCTCTTTCGTAGATCCATCACGCAGAGGTAAACAGGACGACCCTCCCACGTATAAGTGACCTCGCGCCGAATTAATCGGCATAGAGGACTCGCTGTTTACAGATCTATGTATCCTTGCTCGAATGCACCCAAGAACTGCATCGTCACTGCCTCGTGCTGGGGGATGGATCATGGAATGAAAAGACAGATTGGGAGTCATGATCGTAGAACATATGATGAGCGCTACGAGAGATCTGTTAGCAACGTCAAAGGGAACACATGGACTAAACCTACGAGTCGTATGTTGACCTCATCAAAGACCTGGGGTGATGCACTAGTAGCAACAAGATAGGGACCCTTGTTGGGTCATTGTTCTAAACGGAGCATCATTCGAGCTATATTCTCTCTCAAAACCCCTTGTCAAGTATGACAACGGGATACTTTCTTGTCATTGCAAGGCCTATGAGAGGGTCTGTGAGAACATTGGTTGCATGGTGTATCAATGTTGGGGTGTAAGGGAAAAAGAACGAAGATTGTTCTTCAAGATGTGACTCTGGGATAAAGGGGTTTCAGTTTCGGTGTCAGACAGACAGTCTTGACCCAATGGAGCGTCGCCAAAATAGTTGTTCTGCAGTATTATGGGCGGCTTAGGGAAGTTCTATGATGAGTGGTGTTGTTTTCGTAGTATAGATAAATCAAGACTCACAATCATGCATCAAGCCCGTCTGTCCTTATTAACTTCGTATTATCGGAGTGTACATACCAAACTTCTTCGCGTGTTTAACACCAGATAGCCCATTTGATTTGAACCTGTATAGACTTAAAGGCTTTTTAGAGCAGAGATACGATGCGTCGGTTGCAGTCTGCTTGAATAATACGGATGTCGCTAATCTATCTGAAAATGACCAGTTAAGTAGATGCACATACAATAGTTCCAACGATGCTGGATATGCCTATGCAGCATGCCAAGTAACGTTCAGATGGCATGCTTGGCTCTATGGGCTGGTCAACCAAGACAGTGGACAGCTGAGAGAGAAACAAAAAAAAATCATAAATGAGCCAAGGAAAATTTTGTTCACAGACAAGGACAGTGCCAAACGACGCGAGATAATCCAGAAGAACACCATTGGTCGCGAAGGGAAGCGTGGATATCGATACAAAGCGGTGACCGTTGGATCGACAAGAAGCAACCCGGTTTCTCCCGCTCCCACCAATAAGCAGCTCCCCATTCGTCAAGGGATTCCAATTCTCTTTCAAGTTCAATTCCCAGTTAAAATAACGCGGTGGTTGGTTTTAATTTCGAGGAACAGGGAAGAATCTACTCTTCAGCTTCAACGTATTTATGACGAATATCCTTCCATTGTTTCTACGTCGGGTTGAGCACACGCAACGGAGGAAATCGAAAAAAGCGAGGACGTACTCCCTTGTTCCAACGGTCATAGAAAGAATCCAGGGCGGTATCGAACCCAATACCGAATCCGAATGCGCCAGCAAAGATGGTTGCGACGTACACGCCTATCCAGGTCAACATCGAGGAGCAGCCAAAGGTAACCGAGACCTACTGTTGCGCTTGAAGAAGGTATTGTACAGCGTAGTCGAGAACTAATCCAAGGCGAGTTAGTAGCCAATCATCGCGAGGAAGCAGGCAAAGACATACCGACATGATGGTAAAGGTGAAGAGTAAATTACCTAATCGGGAATTTTCATGTTTGCTCTGCGCCGTATACTACCACGAGCAGCACTGCAGACCCGCTCAGTCGTCGGTGGCGGCGGGGCACACACGATAGGCTCGGTCATTGGCGAGCTCAATGCCGACCTTGCCGCCACTTCCAATCCTGCGCCTCCCGCTCCCTCCGTCATCGACCCAAATCTGCCGCCCTCCGCCCCTTCCAATGAAGAAAAACCCGCGACACCCCTCGACCCCGTGGACCGCCGTAACTGGCCTATCTACCGCCTGCACTGCCAGGCTACCCCCAATAACACCCTGCTCACCTTCACCGCCCCAGATGGCTGCGTCAAAGCATGGGCGTCTGCAGGCTCGTGTGGATTCAAAAATACGCGAAGAGGGTCACCCGAGGGTGCGTACGCTGCGTCTGTGAGGATTTTTGAGAAGATCCAGGCGGCGACGGAGGGCACGGAGTTTTATGTGCATTTGTTTCTGAAGGGCTTTGGGTTGGGACGGAACACGCTTGTGCAGACGCTGGCGAGCACGGAAGGCGAGGCGGTGAGGAGAAGAGTGTTGTATCTGACAGACCGGACTCCGATAAAGATTGGAGGAACGAGGGCGAAGAAGATGAGGCGCATATAGGTGTGTTTATTGCTTGTTTAGCGGCTTTTCTGACGGTTAGTAGGCAATTCCATGTCGTACTCTATGTTGCAATGCAGTCTATTACAGGTTCCAGCTGACCCACTTGAATTTCTCATCAACAAACGAGTAAGTTGCCGACCAGGCTGAAGGATATGATACATAGCCTCAACCAGCGCCAGGAGGTTTGGGTGTATGAGTATTTCCACATAGGAAAAGGATGCGAGTCATCGAGAGGCTGATAGTGACATTCTACCGCACCTTTGATTGCTAAGGTAGATTCTCATAA